ATCGCTTGGAGCGCACGAAAGGAAATCCCTATGCTGTTCAAAGAACATCGTGCGTTCCTAGAGAGGATAGGGACAGGAGGTAGGTATTGGAATTTTTTTTGAACTTCTGGAGATTATATGTTGTTGGGAATACTTCCTCAGGCAATGAATTCCAGAGCCTATAGACGTTCTTAGATGAAGGAGTTTTAATAAAGGGCTGTTCGACATCTTTCGAGGTTGACAACGCAGAGATAGATAGCAGAGATTTCCGAAGAACATTTCCCGTGGAAGTATCGATAGAATAGTGAAAAGGTCGCCGACCTTTCTACGGTGTTCCAATGATGTCAGAGAGTGAGTGAGTGTAACTGAGAACTGAAAAGTTTCAAGACATCAGATACGAATTTGCTATTCGAATAACTATTTTTTATGTTGATGAAAACGGCAACAGATTCGTATCCGAAACGTCCAAAGCTAAGTGAAAATTTGGTATTTTTTTTATATACCTTTATTTCTCTTCGCCAAACCTTTTTCAATACTTATTGTCACTGACAAGCTAGTGAATTTTTCTTTCAGGCTCTCTGATAAAAAATTCTTTAAACGCAGTGACATGTTGGGACAAATCATCTGATTTTTCCTAACTACACGTATATTGAAATAATATTCATATTTTTATCTTATAGAAACGAGGAGAGAAAATCCCGAAAAATCTGGAATAATCAGGGGGTTCAAACTTGAACCATGAAAATTTGATATCTTTACTGACCTCTAATCACAGATTCGTGATTGGGTTTTCTCAATTCAGAATTCTCTTTCCACTCCCTGTATGATGAACATCAATTCATCATCCAACTAAACAACAAGAACACATTTCTGAAAGCAAATTTGGGAAGTTCGTTTTTTTCACCCTTCATAAAACCGACCCCTTAATTAAAAACGGTCATCCACAGCAAATGTTTCCCGTCCCCGTCTGATATCTCAGCAATCCTCATCTGTTGGATAAACTGCTCGCCAGTTATTCTTATGGCAGAGAAAAATTATTAATGGCTGTTGCCGGCGATATTTCTTCCCTGCCCGAAGGGCAGTTTTATGTTATGGTCTCGAAAAGCGCCACAACGGCATTCGATGTAGGGGGCGCTGGTCATCGAGGTAATCATAGTCGCCCGTAGAAAAATTCCCGAAGAGTTACGATTTGTGAACGACTGAGAAGTGTTTTTTCTTGTCTATTGTATAATGTCTCCGACATTGAGATCCAATACGATCACAACTATATTGGTGTCCGAGTGTAAAAGTGTCTTGGAAAACATGGGAATGCCCAATATCATAGCTATGTCCTTCATGATTTTCATGAAGGAAGTGCTATACAGAGGCAGTTTCTTGAAACATGGCGGGATGCATCAGGAATGGGACAATCAAAGATCCTTTTAACGAAACCTTCAAGAAGGCTCACGAGAAAGGACCTGACACTTAACAGAAGAGGTCCCAAGATGGTAGTTGGGAACAACCACCTGAACAGGCACCTGGAGGTCATAGGGATCAAAGATGATCCCATCAGCAAATGGTGCTTGGAAGAAGATGAAACATATTCCCACATACTTGCTGCATATCCCGCGTTGGTGCATCAGAGAAAAACTGTCTTTGGGAGCATTGTATTTCACTCAAAAAAATGTGGAAGTGATTCAGCTGTGGAATTGCAGGTGATTCACAAGCCATGTTGCTGAACATTGGGCCCGACTGAAGTGGCCAGAGTACAAGGGTCTATACACCCGTCCACCCGTGCAGAGAAGCCGAAGAAGAAGAAGTACCATGTCTCCAAAAACACCATCATTTTATTCATTCAAATGTTTTTCTATTTCGGTGGAAATGAATTCAACCTTGCAGCAAGTTCCAACGAAATCATTCATCAAGTATCATCATAATCTTGATTACACCATTCAACATGGACTGGAGCTGAAACTGAAATGCGAAAATGTCTTGAATAATATACTCAATCTCCTCAGGATTTACCTCATGGCTCATGGCGTTTCTTTCATCTCACCGATTAGATTTTTCATTCAAGTAATTCGACATCTTTGGTTCAAATCAATATATTTGTTAGTCAGAAAATATAATATCAAAACAAGTATCAAAATAAAGAAATACTGTGTGAATCATACATTCCCATATACTTGGCTGAAAGAAATTGTTTAATTCGAGTAGGTAATGTGTCTGTCATGGTTGGGTTCACATTTCAATCCAAATCCTAAATCACTAAACTATACAGAGGGCAATATGTAATAGTTCCATTATCCTTATTCATAACGCTATCACTAATCTTAAGTGTGTCTATAGGCTTTCATATGCATCCAATTTTCTTACATCATCAACTTGTCTGTATAAAATATATGGAATATTCAAATAAAGATACGTGATTTCATTCTGATAGTATTTATTTATTTATTTATTTATATATTGCTAATAATTTCACTGCATATGTAACAATTGTTTTCAAAGGCAGGGGGGCATAATTTTATATAGGGAATATCATTTCACTACGGTTCGTTACAGGGGGCTCCACGTGAACAATTCATGATGATGATATCGACGAGTAACTCTTTTTGACTAAGAAATTAGTATAATGTCTACGTAATATTGGTACTTCTGTTTGAACGCGGTATTTCCATTCGATTTCGAGAAAAGGGTAATTGAACAGTTCAAAGTCTCGAAGGGGATTTCAAATATTATTACATTTATGAAGAGTCGGCTTTGTACTGTCAGATAGTTGTTGCTGGTAGATGCCATTTCTTGTCAGCCCTGTTTTCCACAGCAACATCGCCAAATTCTGGACTAAACAATACGTCCTTAGCCTATGTCACATTAGTGATGACTCACCCTGTATACAACCATACACTTGACACTTGGAGTGAGTATATTGTTTTATTATAAAAAATCTTTTTTTGTGTGTATTTGTTTTCGATGTTTGGACAATTCATTCAGATGAGCATTATTCATGAATATTTGCTCTTTACCCAAAACAATATCCCTTTTTTGTGCCACTTTGTGGCGCATATGGAGCAGAGGTGTGGGAAATACGCAGATGGGGGTGAGAGGAAAGCGACACCAAGATTGATTGAATTAATGGGGATGTTTTGGAAAGAGAGAAAATATATTGAGGGATATAATACATATAGCCAACACTTCATGAATTGTAAAACATTTATCAGGTTCCTGATGAATACCTCGAAAAATGATGATACTCATTGAGAAATAGAGAAGCCTCATGACATGAGATATTTCATTAATTTTCTTTCATTAGAATAGACATGCATTCATAATACGGCTACGGAAACTATAGATTAAAAAATTCTATCAGTATTTTTCACTACAAGAAAATTACTCATGAGTGGTTGTATCTGATGAAACTTGAAGTACTATAACAGAAGAAAACATAATAGACAGGATTTTTCATATGAAAGAATGTATTTTTTCTGTGACGGGAAAATAGTTTGGTATTTTATCTCTGTTGACAGGTTATAAAATGTCACTTTTTATAAATTACTATTTTCCACAGAAAAAAAGTCAGTACTTTTTTCCTGGATATATACAGGGAGAGTCAGAATAAGACCGACAAACTTTGTACACGGATTCCTCACCTCACTTTGAGGTAAAAAGTTTCCATCAAGGTATGTCCTAAAGTGCATCATCACTGAGATAATCTCTGCTGAGATACATGCAGGGTGTCGAAAGTACGAAAATAGTCAAGACTTCTTCAAATTTCTCCAGAACACCTGTAGGAAAAAAATTGAAAGTTGGTATATCAATCCAGTTTGATCAGAATAATCACAGGGAGTATTCAGTTTTTAATTTCGTCAACCAGTGGCGTGATAAGGGTCGTATGTCACCACATTTTCCTTCAAAATTTTTCTCAGACAGATGAATTACCAAATTAGTGATTGACATCAGTTAGGATTATCAATAGTCAACCTAGAATTAATAACATTTTGCATACCTAAATGTAGAGGTTCCGGAGAAAAAATTAAAGAATTGTTATTTTCATCACATAGAGAATCCGAATTCTCAATGTATTTCTTTATTATTCATTTTTTTATGTACATAATTTTATCTGAGAATATCCCTTTTCAGTAACCATATGGCTTGTGACCATCATTGGAAAGCTGGTGGTAAGAGGAATCCAGCGTACTAGTCAGATTTTATTTTTTATACGTTCAAAAACTGCATACTATCGAAATGTCATTAAAATTCGATTTATTTTCAACCTATCAATCGCTAACAACTGCTATATTGTATTCCAGTGTTTTTATAGAGCCGCAAAAAAAATTTAGATTTTTCCAAAATTGACAGTTTGAAACAAAGTGTGCAATAACACTTTGTTTCAAACTGTCAACTGTCGAAATCTTGATAAAAATACTTCGAATTTATATTGAACTGCAGATAAATACATTTAAACGTTGACGTGTCTCGCGAATTTTCAGAAAAATCATTCACTTTCCCAGTAGCGAATTTATTTTAGTTAAACTCTCCACCGTGTATATCTATATCTATTTCAGAGGACGCCGATTCTAGTAGTGTGTGCGATTTTTTTCTGAAATAATCGCTAATGAGAATTCTGGATTTTCCGCCTCTGCTCGCTGCTTGGCTCCAGAATACACCTTTTTCCCTTATTTATTTCAGAAAAAAATTATTAAAAATCTGTCTATAAACAAAAATTGTATGAGGGTGGCCTGCTTTCAGATAAGTCACTCTGTATGTATATGGTTAAGTTTGGCAGATCAACTTGACTCCACGTTTCGTCCAGTGCTTGCCTCCATCATCAGCATTGAAGGGAACAAAGCATATCAAATCTTCCATCTGAGTGGTTCTATATAAAGGACAGTTGTATACATCGTCTCTGTCATTGACTGTACCCACTGGTCTGATCAAAATTGGAGGAAAGACATTGAAAACAGAGGTTTCATTTTCGATAATATCGTGTGAGTCAGAGCTCCATTTAGCACCAAGAATATACAGCCCTGTAACTACTATACCATCATTCTCTATTAGCGCTTCATGTCTTGGGACCACATATTCGAGACTACTAGTTCCAAGAGTTGTATTGGACTTGGACAAAAAATTCAGTCTGGTTTGAGTGAGCAAAGCTTTTGGTCTGAAGAAAGCTGCCAACCAAAAATGTCGACCATTTTCTTTGAGATTCCTAAAGAATTGTATTCTATCGTTGAGGTTTTTAACGAAACTTGAGAGTCTATTGTTATTGGGAAATGTATATTGTTTCCAAAGTCTTGGCACTCTACTATGTATTATATCTTCAGCCATTTCTTCGTATTCCGAAGATATCAGAACAGTACCACCTACAGATTGTTTAAGATGGTGCAAAGTATCAATCATCCTCTTTAGTAATATATTATACAATGATATTTCTTCACAAAGAACGAAGCACTTAATTCGTTTGTTTTCTAACGAGGTTGGTAGATCTTTAAGAATGTCTTCAATCGAAAAAATGAGAGAAAATTCGTTACTCTCGACTGTCTTTTTCTCTTGAACTGAATGAAAGTTGAGTATAGTACTTAGTATGTCCTTGGATCTTTGAGCACTAGCAAAATCGTTTGTTATTTCAGAGATCCCAAATATTTCAGGCTCGTCTTGTCCAGGTAACATGGAAATGAAGTTGATGTAATCTTTGTAGTCAGATTTTTTTGGTAAACCATACCGTACTAAATTGTTGAATTTGTAGTCAGCTTTCTTGGCTACATCTAAATTCAGAAATTGTTCCAAAAGTACCATTATGCAACTAAAATCGATCGGATCATCGATATTTGATCCATAGTGACATCTTCCTATGATATATTCCAATTTTTGCATGCTCCCATTCGTGAAAGATCCTTCATTCAAAACATCTTGGAGCTGGTGGATGGAGATGAGAAGTTCCTGATCAGTAAAAGAAAATGGCGATTTCCAACCAAAAACACCAAAGCTATTTCTTTTTCGCAGCGCGCAATGAAAGGAAATAAGGCCATACAGTAGCCTAGAGAAAACCGGATGTTTCCCGGCACAGCTGCCAAGGAAGTCAGGCTCAGAAATAGGATCGTTTTTGTAAACTGTCATCAAGTTCTCCTTGAAATCACTAGGATAGTCCAACACAACTTTGATGCTGTTTTGAAGTAGCTCAATTGGCATTGCTTCTGTAGCTTCAGATATTAGCCAAAGCCTGAAATTCTCATGGGTGTTTTCGAAGTTCCATTCCACAAGCTTTTTCTCCAGAATTTCGAACCAGTGTGGAACAACATGACAGTTTTGAAGGCATATCCAATATCCACAGTTCTGAGCGTGGTCTATCATTTCGCAAGCTTCCGAAATATTTTCAGGACCAAAGGAGAGTATTTGTAAGGTATGAAGAACTTTTTTCTTTTTTGCTAACGACTGAATTTTATCTAGAGGGTTGATTTCTTTGCTCATGATAAATAGTATCGGTGACAAACTATAAGATTCGTTGTAAGTATCAGATATATCATAATATTGGGGCTTCATGAATTCTTCCCCAAGTTCTGTAGATATGAAATGTTTCATGCGGTTCAGTAAACAATGAGGTTTGAAAAATTTCGTGATGAGGAGTTGGTGAAACTTTGTTAAAGTGGTATGCCATGGAGGTGGTATATTATCAAAACCTGGTGATTCTATATAGTTTTTCCACAAGTTCAAGTCGAAATTATCTATTAGGTCTAGGAATCCAGTCAAGTTCCTCAGTTGATTCAATTTTTCCTCAGTAGTCATAATTTCAATCGAAAAATCATCCCTCAGTAGCATGTTGATTTCATCGTAGCTGATAGAGTTTTTGAACTGGGTTATGCTGATAGCGAACCAAAATAAGAAAGTCAATTTATCTCTTTCGTACAGACAGTTACTGATGTTTTTGTACAGATGATATGTAAATGTTTTTGATATGTTCTCACATCTTGTCAGTATCTTTTTCGATTTTGCTGAAAGAAGGATTGATCTGTGATACAATTCCATGAACCATTTCAACGAGAACTGGTAAATATGATTGAAATCCCTCAGTTTAGCTATAGAGAAATATAAATTCGCTACATAACTTGGTATACAGGTGTACTGATTTCTGAAGTTGTTGATAAATTCTTCCATTTCTTCGGACTCCTTCTGTTTTTCTCTTACTATCATTACCAGATCTTTGGACTGATCCAGAATTTTGATGGAATTTTCGTCTTCTAAAATGTCAGCTTCAGATTCACATAGTGTTTTCAGGATTTTGTTCTCCAGTTCTGCTAATTCTACTCTGTTCTTACCTCTCTTAGAGTACAATTCTTTCCTCAATTTCTTCAGTTCTGGCTTCTCAATTTCGGTTACAATTTGCAAAAGACAATCACTCAGAGCAGTATCGGTGATGCCAAAGTTGATTATTGTCACTTTGCTTTGCAGTTCTGGTGAAAATTCTGGATCTGCTATATTGCTCACCATGTATAGTCTGAATTTTGGGCTCATTTTGATATGAATACCATTCAACATTGTCATGGGATCATTATTGTTGACATGAATATAATTTGCTAGGAATTGATACAGACAAGTTGGAAGGACGCTTTTGATTTTATGTATTGAAATCGGTTTTCCTACTTCGATGCAATATTTCAGTTTCTCTAAATAATCATCATGGGTTAACTTCATTATGGTTAAATCATTCCTACGTTCAATTTTCTTGATCCATTCATCAGCTTGGTATTCAGGGTCGACTAAGACACAAAACAACCTGGAACAATCATGAATGACTCCATTTTGTAAAAATAATTCATCGTTGGGTAAGCCTTTTTTCAGCCATAGCTCACTTTTGTACTGGGATGAGAAAGACTCGATTATATCGAATTCTTCACAGCAAGGAAGCAGTTCATTGATAAACTGATGCCATTTTTCAATTATGGTATGCCTCAAAGTGCCCCCGAAAGGTCCCAAATATGCCACGATGGCACTGGAGACTAGAACATTGCCACACAACAGTTTTTCTTGCAGCCCTAGGCTTTCCACAGCTTCTGTCCATCTGAGTTTTTCTCCTCCAAGACTGCCTATCAGTTTTTGAGCACTCCCTAGCTTCTTATTGCAAATATCTACTTCCCTTTGCAGCTTCCACTGTTTTCTAGTGGCATCATCTAAAAGTTCCTTGAGACCAGCTAATTTCTCCTCGATTCTCTTGACCTCTTCTTTCTTCTGATTCAGTATAGCCATAGTGGCAGCATACTCTCTCTCGGAGTTTTCCAATTTCTCCTTTTTTGGAGCTACTTCCTTAGCAACTTTATCGTATAGATCCATGGCTATTATCCATTTGCAGAGACCTTCAGCAGCACTGGAAGCTTTTGCTACGACGTGTGGTTTGAAATCCTTGTGCGGTAAATATTCCTTCCTAATCTTGACCATGATTTCAGGTTTGATATTATCCTTATCGAAGTCTTTGAGCGTTTGCAAGAAATTCATGTCGCCCAGGATTCTTTTGCTCGGTCCCCAATAGTCTATCGTCTTTCTTCCAGTGCTGGGATCGGGTATCCGATCAGGTTTCACGTCTTTGATAACACAAACAGCTGCCATTACTAACTTGATAGCATCCGGTGGATTCTTCATAGACTTGACTAGAGTTATATCCGAAGGTTTCAAGGTATTCAGAGCTGATATGGCGTCTTCAAGGATGGGTATAGCTTGTGCTAGCTCCGCCTCGCATTCTGATTTGAGAATCTGCGCCACCGAGGCTTGTTCGCTCGCAATCTCTTCATCTTTCCTGACTAAGGCAGAGGCTTTTTCAACTTCTATCGTTTCGAGGGCTATCTGTTCTGTCATCTGTACAGCCTTCTGCGTCATCTCAGCTAGCTGTGGCTGATATTCTGCTAATGCTTTTTGCATGCTAGATATTTGATCCGCAGCATAGGAAAGTTTGCCTAACCCTTGGAGGTAAAGTTTCTTCTTCTCATCTATTTTATTCCGCTTCCGTCTAACCTGTTCTATGAACAATTTCAACAGATGGATGAATGCAGTGGCAGTAACATGAACAGGAAATTTAGTTGTCGATAGCAGTTGTTTTGCAATGTTTTGTGACTCCCTGTGGAAATATACAAGTATGTCTATCACCTTTTCTTCGTCTTGCGTTTTCAACTCGAGACTTGACACCCATACTTTCGCAACATCTTGTAAAGATTCATTCGACCAATCGTCCCAGCATATCACGTGACAGTTGAATATACCCGGATAGTTTCTGAGCCTGTACCTCAGCTTATCACTGGTGGCAGAAAGAGAGAGTATCAAGTGGAGATTTTCTTTGCATTTCTTGTTGAAATGAAGGAAGACCGATGAGGAACTGATCTCCAAATTTTTGTTTCCACCTTGAGCTGACAATCGTGCTAGCTGTAGAATTTGTTGTTTGTCTTCCACAGTGTATAATCCAGGAATCTCGCCATTCAAGAGTAAGCTTTCTATATTCTGCAGGAACGTGTCGCTGATCAATTGTTCTTCTGTTACCAGAAATACGCATTTATTCTCCAGTGCACCTACTTCTTTGAGAACTGTTTTGACATCGGCATTCCAGTCTTGGAGAGAATATTTTTGAGTGATGATAGGTTGGTGAAGCTTTTGTTTATGAATGAAACAGGCCAGCTTTGTGAGACTTTGCTTTCCGGAAGCACATGGACCGATCATCAGAGCATTGCCTGGGCAGAAGGAGAGTATCCTGCTAAGTTTCAATAGTTTTTCCAATGCATTCTGGAAAATCACAATCTCTAGTTTGAACTCATGTTTCTCATTATAGTCAGTGAGAGCGGCAGTGAAGTAATCTAATAAATATGTATGATCTATGTTTTCGTCATATTTTTTGCTGTTACTATTATTTTTATCATTTATGGTACTGAATACTATTTTATTTAGAGGGCAACCATTGTTTTCAAAGTGGTCCTCAAAGGATTCATTAAAATCACCAACTATACCTTCCTTGATTTTTTGTAACAACCAGTTACTATCTAAAGTATTTAGTCGATCTCCAAAAACTCTCAAGGTTTCATGTACCCACAGTTTCAGGAATATTTTTTTATTAGCATCATAAGTCTCCTTCCTCAGCATAGCGCAACCTTGTGTGATCTTAGAAATACTACTCAGGCTGAATAAGTAGTGACATCTACTAACTGTTGGCCTACAGAACTTGCGTATTTGTTTATAAATGTTATGAGTAGCTTGTGCTAATTGGTTGGTAATTGTAGCAATATCTCCTGGGAAGCCAGATTTTTTCCATATGTGCAACAGACTATTAGAATATATTCTAGTGATCGTTTCTTCGGTGAATTCATTTATTGCAAATATTCCAAAGTGCCTCAAGAATCTGGGCGACAATTTCTTGTTACAACCGCCTAAAAGTCCCATAGCAGATACTATGTTGATGCTTTCTAGGTACACCCTGTTCGCAGAATTGAAATCGTACCATACCTTGTGGTCCAAATATTGGCGTAAAAGTTCTGTGCTGCTAGAAACGCCAAATTCGTTAGTAGATACTTGGTTCAAGTTATCTATGAATAAGAGGAAATTTTGTCCAGTAGGAGGAATGTACACATTGTTTTTCCTCTTGTTGAGTTTACCAAGAACAAACTTCTGAGTGGTTTTCGATTCCAGATCAAGGTTGAAGTTTATATGAGCTATGTCGAATCGATTTTTGTTCAGTGTATTGATCAAAATATGTTCGATAAGGATAGTTTTTCCAGTACCTGTTGGACCTATCAATATGCAGGGTTTCTGATTTTTTATAAACATATTCAAAATCATTGCAGTTCTAAGTGAATCAGCTGTTGGTACTAGGAAATCATTCATATAAGGACTCTCCACTATTTTCTCCGTTTTTAAAATGTCTTGATACAATTTCCAATTTCCTCTTTGCCTATAGAGGTATTGATATTCGAAAAGTGAACTTTCTTGAGGTAAAGCTACTTCAAGTTTATCTAAAGTTTCTGGATGTGGATGTTCTGTATTGACTCCTTTCCATAACGTTTTGAAAAATTCGTCGAATTTAGTCCTAGATGTGGCATCTAAAATGCTCCCTAAACCAAGTACCACAGCTTGTATAACTGTCGATTGAATCCAAGTAGGAAAATTCTTGGCATCTTCTTCTCTCTTGTTCAAATTTGAAAACACTTCATCCAATATGAATTGTGTTAGTAGCAACATATTATTTACCAAACTCGGTTCAGTTGAAGTACACAGTTGATGGCAATGGATTCTTATGAATTCGAGACTTGGTGGTATGATCCAACAGAATAAGTCGAAAATTTGGTTTCGAAAATCTCTAATCCATTCTGAGCTGCAGTTAGCTATCCAGCTTTCGACCAAATGTTTCCAAATCTTCGTAGATCCATGGAAATAGATCACTACACAATGTGCTATCTGAAAGGTAAAAAATCAGGAACATATTCAATATATCTATTGGTACAAACCTACAATTGAAGGAGAACTAGAATTCAGGTTTTCAACTTCGAAAAATGTTGTAGTGTACCCTTCAAGCATCAAACTCTCACCAGAATCCGAATAAAAAGTGTTGTCCTCATTTAGCATTGGGCTAATGTTCTCAAGTTCGGTGGGATTTATGGTTCCATCCAAAGTGATCCATGTTCTTCCAGATGGTTCTAAGCTCGCAATGTCTCTGATCAATTGTGTGAAAACGCCGTCTCTCCATTTTTGCGTACATTTGTCTATTTCTCCATAAAAAGTCTTGTAATCAAAGCAATTCGGATTGATGATATGATGTGTCACCGTTTGTTGCGATACGGATTCAACAATTTTCTTACATACCCGCAAAGATATTGTTTTTCCTGAAAATGCTTCTCCAACTAGAACAATACAAGATCTTCTACAGATGTTTTCGTATGTTTGCAAAACATTCTTGATGAGATTCTCATCAGGTTGCACATTCATTTCAATAAGTAATGTGTTAACCATTATTTCCAAGTCATATTTCGATTTTTGCTCTATGTTAAATTCTGGGAATACGTCAGTGAGGATACTGATGAAGAGTTTCTCATGCTGGATTTTAATTTGAGGAAAAATCACTTCTTTCAGGCAATTTGCAACTGTGAATGCCTCATCCATTTCTTCACCATCTTTTTTTAAGGTGTCACATTTATTTAGGATTTGGGTGAGCGTGTTCAGGCCAAAATTGTAGCAAGGCATCATATCTTCGATGAATCTAAGCACGTGGCAGGTTCTTCTGGATAGAGAAATGGCTGACTGAAATCCCTGGCTCAGTAATAATGCCTCAGCAATTTTATCTAGTTCCGGTGATAGCTTAGTCATAGTCCTGAATGATACTTTGAGATTGAGGGGCAGTTCTCTTTTATAGCTCTCTGATTCGAGACAAGCACAGAGGAAGCTAGTGGGGCTCAGATCTGTGAGAGTTCCTCCAATATTGCAACTTTTCAAATTCCGTATCTTCGCAATATGGATGATAGATAAATCCTGACTGATTGCTGAGAGCACACCCTGTGGAATGGCACCAAAATTGTCCAGGCATAACCAAGAACCACACATCAAGCTACCAAGGATTAGTCTAGTAATTGTGGAGTAAGTCAAGTTTTTCGAGCAATGGAACACTATGAGCAATCCTCCAAATGATCTTACTAACCACTTGATGGTTTGAGATTTACCCGTTCCACTATAACCTTTCAACAAACCATTGTAGTGCATGGAAAAGGCATTGATAAGGATCCTGGTACATCTGTCGGTGAGAGGTGTTGCTATGTGGTGGAAAGAGTTCCCAAAATATTCAAACAAGTACTGTAAGGAAGAATTCAATATGTGAATGTGACAACTTGAATTTCTGTAATGATATTTGAAATGTGATTTCCATTCAAAATTAGTTGGATCGATGTTATTCGAATCTAGAATGTTTTTTAGCAGAGCCTTGTTATTTATGTCATCTACTATTAGGCTTCTGAGTTTTTTTCTCTCACTGTTGGTTAAATCATCAGTGAGCATTTTTATTTTGTCATCCATATTGTTCATCAACTGTTGGTAGTAGATTCTGAGTTTTATATTATGAGTGAGACTCAGAGCACCTTCCATATTATCAGTCCAAAATATTTGTGATACGACTCGTAGTATTTGCTCGCAATAAAGCGGAAGTTTGTTTTTCAGGTCAGTCCTTTTGAATGTTTTGAAACAATTGCCCATCTGGGACTTGAGACTCGCCCTCATTTGTTCTTCTAGTTGAGAACACAGCGTTTCCACTTTGTTATCTTTCAGTTTGCTAATGGGGCACGCAAATTCTAGTTTTTCTGATTGCGAGTTAGAAATTCCAAGGATATAAGTATTGTTTGTATTCAGACTGTGAATCCCAGGGAATAATTTAATTAAAAACTTTCCTGACTTCAAAGCATGCTTTGGATCCGACACAACTTCCAATAGTTCTACGTTTGATAGGAAATACAGTCTCGGAAATGATAGCCTTGTAAGATTCAAGTAAGAGATAATGCCTTTGTCGATTACTTCCAGGTCGCTTGAACAGGCTTCAATTGCTTTTGTTATATCTGTTGTTTCAACGATTTTCATTATTCTTGAATCGTGGCTAATCATTCCTATAAAATATCCATATACCTTGGATGTCTGCGAGAACAATGCTGTTTCTTTTGGGGCTATGATCGTCATACGTTCATTTCGGAATATTGGTAGTAGCTTCAATATATCCTTCTGCACCTTACCCCAAGCTTCGATAGTGGATTTGATATTTAGTATCTTGGTATAGAACCTCATGACTTCTTTTTCATGCGGTTTCACGAATACCGAACTCCTCATGGTTGCTAATTTTATGGTATGATCATTCACAATGTCATCTATGTCTTCCAGGTGTGACAAAATTTTAATTTCTCCAGTTTTTGGTTCATCGATCACAGTGAATTGAATACGTTTCCACTGGTCTTCGATTTCCTCGAGGTGATCTATCAGTTGTTTTTCTTTACTAGCACCGGTACTGATTATCTCGTACTCTCTGAGACTGGATTGAAAATCGATCTTCATTATTTTTCTCAATGTGGTACCGGCATTTGGGGTCACATCCTCTTTGGCGATTTCAGAAATGGCCATCCAGTGTCGCTTCTTCAAGTTCGGATTACAGATTATCTTCATGACGTCGACTGCCGGTTTGAAGTCTTCCATGAGCTTCAGAGCGGTGCCGCATAGCTTCAGCGGAGCAGGCCAGTTCAGGATATCTGGGTCGTCTACAGTGCCTTTGAATCTTAGGGGGATGTTTTCGTCTTGTGCCTGGCGCAGCTTTTTCCTGTATACTTTGTGAAGTTCCGTGAGTTCTTCGTGGTATTTATCGACGGTGGTTCTCGTGGATTCGTAGTTCAGCATCTCGAAGGGACCGTCTTGCCATACGGAGACGTTCCTTTGGACGTCCAGACAAAGTTTCATGAGATGGTAGAAGGGGTGCACGTGGTTCTTCAGGTCTTCGTACTCTGAGTATGTTGATTTTGGGAAGCTGAGGCTAACCTATAAAATGAAATAAACTTTTTGTTATTTTGACATGTAATGTGACAGTTTTCGAAACTAACAGAAGTTTTTACACGCCTCACTTTACGTTACCAGTTGCGTAAAGGAATAGATTACATAACTAGTGATGAAATGGTCGTTACAACGTTATGTATAAAAAATATGGATGGACGAGAAGATTAGTGTGAATACTCAATGATAGTATACATTTTGTGCTGATTCCTCTATATCACTTGGAAAATCTGAACTTGAATCTGCCATTTTCCACAAATGAGAGTATCAAACACCCTATTTCTTGAATTTCGTCGCTAATTTTGGACCATATTATTGTTTGATCGATACTCAAAAGTGACGGGCGAAGTACTTGCCTACTAAATGTTGTACATATTCATAAGTAATATCACGATGTTATGAATATACGAGATAATTCTGTCCCTTCATTGTTCACGAAATTGCTCTACGGCAATAAAATCGAGTTAACAATGAAAGACAGAATAATGAAAAGGTATTCAGAAAATAGTGGTATTTTTCTAGACTATTTCACGTTCACAAAGCATAAAAAGCATTTATTATAAATGAGTTATTCATTCTGACAAGTACAGCCATAATTATTTTATGCCAAACTGACAGACTTTCCTCCGCTATCCATGGTTACATCGTTGAAAACATCAACGCTGATAAACCAATCAGAATTGAAAGAAATTGAAGAACCTTATTATTCTACTTTCATCGTAGGTATTTTATAATAGTCATTTTAACATTTTTGTTTTGCAATTGTCAACTCAGTTTTCATCTTTGTGTGTTTGTATATATATTTTACCTACTACCAATATGTCATGTGAAACATTACGACACTGATAGTATCGTAATGAGATACTTTGACCGCACTAATGCGATAAAGTGAAAAAAATATAATTTCAAATTTTATTTTCACTCAAAAAAAGAAAAAAGCACCAATTTATCATGAATATAGACAAACTATTATCAGGAAATATTCTATAATCATTATAATATTCAATATCTACAAAAATTGTAGCCTTCACTTTTCCGCTTCGAAAAAGCCAACAGCTGTGAATATATGTTTCTTCATAGATATGGTTGTTCCCAACATACTGTAGAGTGTCCATAATGTGGATGGCTTTTCTTTTTCAGCTTCACTAGCGAACTGAGATAATTAAATTTTCTCTAATATACCACGATCAGGGACTTTTCTTGAACAGCACCACATTTCAAATTTCTTAGATTATTTTTCTACCTATTAGTTTCCATTGCTGCATTCGCCGCAATTTCTATATCGGAATCTGAACTTTCATGATCCGAATAGGATTTTTCATTTAAATGACAAATGGCTATCTCTGTTTACATCTCGCAGTCAACGACAGTGGCGGCCATTTTCACCGAAACACTTACTCCACAGTATCACACGTCTCAGTAACGTTTTTTGGAATTATATTATTATAATATACAATTAATACACACCAGGAATATAAAAACAAAAATTCTATGTTGGTAATGTTGTTTCTCAATGACGAATGCCCATAGCGGTTGGCTTTGACAGAACGTCAATAATACCCATATTCGAAATGGCCAATCAGCATTTTGTGTTGGAACTATAGCCAATGAGACTTCACCTTCACAAAGGCCTATTCATGCCGATGATTCGAATTGAAATAAACGCGTCAAAGTTGACAGGTCGCCGAATGAGTTACAACCGAGAACACAATATTACATATTCTTAATGAATCGTCAGCTCAAGGAATATTGAATATTTCTGATTAAATAATTAGCTTCTTGGTAGTAGGTAAAATATATATCCGTATCGTAAACTTATATTACGATAATCGATGGGTTATCTCAGTGCCGGATTTATACTCCCTAACGCTGGGGGGGGGGCTAACGATGCCGCCGCGCCGCCGCCAAATATTTAATTTTCAATTATCAGTTTCAAAATTCAAATACTACTTCTTTAACAGCATATAACAATAACATGAAATCATTTTTTACAACGAATCAAATTATATTTACTTCACACGTTAAACATAACAACAAACAACAAATATTTTTTTTCAGATGAATACTAAAATACTTTTCTTGATTTTTTTGATGCAAAGTCGTCAGTGGCATCATCAAAATTCAGATTTAATAACATGTCACTGTTAATATTTGAAAATAATAAGATATTCAATATATCCTCCACCATGGAATTCCTATGTAAGTTTTTCACTCTTTTTAAAGTTGAGGATGACCTTTCACTACTGGCATTACTAATCATCAGGGATAGTGAAAAAATTCTAAGTTATTGCCCATAATCAATGAATTAGGAATTTGTTGTGATTATCCCTAAAACAACACATAGTCGTGTTCATATTTCGATCATTTATTTTTGAGATTCTAACTCTTCTTTTTCGCGTATTGAATGTAAAAAAATATAAAACTTACCATTCCCGTATTGAGATCGTGAGGTTCTCGGAGACGGTTATTCTGTCAGTTCTGATTCTGTCTCATTTGAATTTAGAAAAAATGAATGTATTTTAGAGCATTTCTTGACAATTTCGTCTAAATGCTTTTGTTTATTTTTCTTCTGTCGTTTCCAGAATACACCACCTTCTTTTTTACGCATTTTTTTTAAATTTCAGTTTCAATATTTATCATTAGTACCATTACCAACGACAACCTATTAAATACTGAACTCTGATTTTGTTTTTTGTTATTGAGTTAGACGAATCACGAAATACCCCTACTCTACTGGGTCGAAGGCGGTTTTTCTTCACATCATCATATAAAAGTATGTACCGCCACACGCTAGATTAGTGCATCTTATGATTTTCACAAAAACAGTATCTCAACCAGTCAATGACTGTATTGCTCATACGTCCATGGTATTGCTGCTTGCTTTTCCTCTTTTCTCTCTTTCTCTACCGCCTCTTGAAATTCACCGCCGGGGGCTGATAGTCCCATAGCCCCCCCCCCTAAATCCGGCACTGGGTTATCTAACTCGGCCTTCGACCTCGTTTGACAAATTTCCGATCTCATATCGTAATATGAGTCTTAACTCTTAACGATACTCGTATCGTAAATATCAAGTAATATGCCTTCTTATTTACGTATGTATATTAGGGTTCTTAATCAATAAAGATCTATCTATCTATCTACCGCTAATGTTTTTGCGATAAGCACACGTTGTCTCAGGCTTGTGATTGGTCAGATTAGGTGATGAAATAGTCGGCAGAGCTCATGTAGAACTGGTCATTATTTTTGTTCAAGCATAATTTTTCATCAAAATTAGAAAAAATATTGTAGGTAACACTTTAGGAAACGTGATTTCAGTGAAGCTGGGATTTTGCGGGACCAGTGACGCGTTTCCTAACTGTATGGTTACGAAAATATCTATTATTTAGGTGAAACTTTTATTTGTCTATATTCTTGATATTATCGATTCGCTGATTATACAATTGTATGAGTTTTCAAAAAAAAAAACAGATGAACAGGATTTATAGGTTCAACGGTTCATTTGAACTGATATGATGAATAGCCTTTCGAATCTGGAATTATTCAAAAATGATTGAAATATCTTGGTAAAATTTCAAATTCAATAATAATCCCAGCAGATCATATTGACTGTAAAATCTATAAAGAAATTATTTGTTTTACGACTTTACACATGTGTCTCAAATTTCAATGATCTATTGCAACTTTCAGATCCTGATATTTCTTTCCTCTACGAAACTACTGTAATAATTAAAAGAATTAACTTGCCAACATTTTCAGTGTTGGATCAATATGCTCAGAAGCAACATATCAGGGCCTACTCTATAACATATAGAACACATACATCTAGACAACAAAATCGAAATTGCTAATCTGGAGTTCTCTTTTTATTAAACACATGTCTATTTTCAGTTTTGATGTCTATTAAAATATATTTTTCGATAAATCCTGGGATTGGTTTAGTCCATGTGTATTTTTCCTGTAGTTTAAATTCATAACATATATCACAACACGGCAATTCTGGTAACTACACGATGAGAATTATTTCATTTTTGAAATATTCATACAAGTAATTCCAGTTCCGATGTGGAATTACCTAAATCTATTGAATTTTGTATGCATGCATAGTGTTTACAGCTGATAGATTTAGACTTTTATTGAAAAATTGGGTCCCAATCCACGAGGACAATGAAAACTGTGTAACTCGTTTAATATCTATTGATTGCAGCTATAATTTTTGATGAATAATGAAAGATTCTGGGTAAAATGTTCGAAATCCAATATTTCAATGTCAATTGAATTTCATTCAGCTGTAACAGTTTATTGGTTTCCAGTTATTCATTCTCTTTTCTATAGCGATGCATATATAACCGTATTTCCAGGATTCCATTCAATCAATCTAGTGATTGATACTCATGTATAATCTCATCGAACGTAACCAGCTTTATCCATATAGATTTGATTCCAGTAACTACAAAATTGTTCATGTGAATACGTTGGGATGGTTTGTCAAAGATAGAAAAGACAAAACTTCAGAATTCGAAGAATTAAGTGTATATGTCGGCGTCAATTAGTGAAATCCGTTATTCCCTGGAATGCCTAGTCATTTCACGAATTGTCGGCAAACAGCGTAACAGCGTAACTACCATTTTCAGCCGTTACTCTGCTTGCCGACTATTTTCCTAAACAAAATATAACCAAATTCCGCCTAAATGAACCTTCTTCCTAGAAAGTATATCTTTCAGAAAATTACTTGAGAGAACAGTAGAGACTACTGCTTCTAAACAACATGAGCTGTACGATATTTAGAGTTACGCTGTTTGCTGGCAATACGTGAAATGACTAGGCATCCCCAATCACCTTAGTATCAAATTTGACGAATAGCGGGAATCGAACCCAAAGTTTTGAAAATTGGTGTACATGTTCTCTTTGGCATGATTTTCAACCAAAAAAAAGTCACCACCTGTACCTGTAGAGCTAACTCCGCCATTTCGAAAAGTGTGTGCACTTTTTCAGTTATTCGGTTATATCTCAGTATCTGTTTAGTTTATCGATATCAATATGCTGAGGTAAAATGAAGGTAATTGAATTGAAAAAAGTTGCCCACATAAATACTCGTTTAGTGCATGGTTTATCAGTAAATCGTGAAACAATATGCAAGTAACTGTCAGAGAGTCGGCGCCATGATCGAGGATACTCGCAACAGTGATACACCATTACAGAATACCAGTGTTGCCACATATTCATGTTTTCTCAAGTGTCCTGTAACCTAAAGTTGCTCGAAGAGCAAGAATTTGATGTTTTGACCATTCATGCAAAAATAGCTGATCTTCATGCAGATACAAAAATGATTGTGCACATTTTGCGTGCCTACTGGTCATGACGATGATGAGCAAGAATTGGCAAAGAGGATAAAATGAAAGTTGAAATTCTTCAAACTCATGAAGGACCGGCCATCATTACGAGAAGTTGCGAAGACTTTCAACAACCCGGAACCTACGAGTGAAGAAGTATCTGCAGCATGTGGACGATTCGTTCGAGCTCGATATGGCGCCCATACAACGGATAACGGAAACATCAACAAGCTCCGGTACAATCTGTTCGCTAAATCTGCTACCAAGAAAAAAGTAGATCTGGCATCTCTGCCAACGACGGAAGCAGCTTAGAGGTAGCACTCCTTCAGAGTCTTTCGCCAGGTACAAAAGTGGTTGGGTAATTGTCCTGAGCTTTGGGGGTGGAAGAGACGTGCTGTTGGTCTGGTACCTGTACCAACTATACTACCTGCTGCTCCAGATTCTTTACTCCAGATGATTTCTTGCAATTGCAAGAAAGGATGCACGGCAGCCTGGGGATGCTGAAAAGCGGATCTCAAATGCTCGAATCGTAGAGTTGTCCCAGTTGTCAGCATTCCAAGAGCGTCTGATGAGACCTGGTTGGTCGAAACAGTACTGTCCCGCTCCTGCTGACAATTGGGGCAACTCTGTTCATTCTGTTAGTAATGGGATCTAGCAGCTTTTCTGCAGGTCACCAGGAGCGTATACAACTGAATTATGGTTTGTCCAGTCGGTTTGCAGTAGGATTTTATATTTCGCCAATTCGTTGTGGCGACATAAGTCCAAAATGGTGCATATTTCGGAAATAATCAATGAATACATTTTTACGACAAATTTTGTTAGCTTCCTTTTACCACTTGACGATTATCGCGATAAAGTTGACAGTTGCCGAGATATACGTGAAAAACTGAAATATAGCACCTATTTTCCAAGATGGCGGCGCAAGCTCTACAGGTACGGGTGGTGACTTTTTTTTGGTAAGATATAATGCTAGAAGGATTACGTACACCAATTTTCAAAACTTTGGCTCCGATTCCCGCTATTTTTCCTTAGGTGACGGCAGAGAATGACGGATTTCACTGTTTGACGCCGACATATTACTATACAAACTGAACTGTGCATCTTGCCTCAAGTATCACAGGATTTTCAAACTTAGGTCGGCACTATTGCTAACTTTGTTATGGTTTGAGCTACAAGGTCAGTTTAATGGGCAAACTAGAAGTATTTTTCCTGCTGATGATAATGAAATTGAAAAAGGTAATCGAACATCATTTTCATTAGTTATGTCGAAAAATTATTTCTTTCAAGTGGGACACCAAGTACACAATATTTTTGATCGATAGGAAATTTGATTCTGAACAAAAACTGTCCGTCTTCGCTTGATGTATCTTTTTTTTTGGTATATATTTTCTTCGTTGTTTTGGGAAAACGAAATTTAACATTTTTGCTGTACCTATTGGAATACTTTTTTTTTATTATTAATTTTCACTAATGAAGTTAATCTAACTTCTGATTCTTTGAAGTAATTAATTAGGAATCGTTAATTACACCTTTCTAATAAGAGTTGCCTTACTATTGTCTAAAAGCATTCATATTCAAAATTCGCGCATTTATGCCTTGACATTTATTCGCTTCGTCCTTTTTTTCTTTTCATGACAATTCCTATATCTATACATTCCTCCTTTTCCTTCCATTGGACGTTGGATTTGATCCGGCAAAAAAATACCCAGGAAAAAGTGACCGGTATATCGATATATCGACACCTGTACGGCCGGCCACGACGTGAACACGCAGAATTTGACTTTTCACACCTACGAAAGTGTTGAATTTGAATACATAACTTGCTGTTCAGTGAATAGTATTTAGTGCATTTCATACTATGCTACGAAACATAGTCCTGGTTTAGAACTGTCACAACTCTCTCGTTACGCAAGAGAGCGGTATTTCCTTCAGATCCCGTCAGCCTTCTGTGAACCTCTGATTTTGGTAAGTCAAGGCATATACATTTATGGTTTTCTGATTTGATCAAGATCGTGTTCGCTTACTGATACACATTACAAAATAATTGAACATACAATAAAGGGATGAGATTTGATGAATCAGAATGATCCTATTTACAGTCGGTTGGTTGATAAATTTTCCCTTGAAGTTTATTACGTAACTAACCAAAGCCAAATCGATGGTTTCGCAAATTTGTCGAGGATGGTCGAGGTATCGTACCAGGGGCGGCGAAAATGTTAATTTTGGGGAGGGGGTAATGGATTTTTTATGCAGGTAATGAAAAAAGTTCATGTTGAAGTTTCTCAATTCAGAATTTCTGTCCACGCCTTGCATGATGGATTTCAATTTGTCATACATCTGAACCAAATATACAGGGTGTCTCACGTTAAACTCGTCTAACTTTAACAATCGATAGCAAAAATAAAAAATGAAAACAAGTTTCTCCATGACGAAACAAAAAAATACGCGTAAAATATTTTGATTTTTGCTATCGATTTTCAGTGAGACGAGTTGAACCTGGGATATACCCTGTATATATACAGCATGTCTCCTTAAACGGCCCATTCTATATCTCAGCTATCAGTCGTGCGATTCTTACCAAATTTGGACTGGTAATAACCATCAATATAATCAGTTTTTCAGAGACGAACATCACTTTGAACAATACCGTGCGTTTCCATCAAAATTGAAAGAGATCAAATTTCCATCAAATATTGCTCCTGATGGTTTCAAATCCCTTATTTGTCAATTTTCATATACTTTAAAAAGGGTTTCAACGAAACAGGCACATCTGAAAAGCACTTTTGCGGATCTGGGTATACTTAATTGAAAAAGATGAGTTCAACAAAAAAAAATGTATACCTTCTTTCTTCAATTGAATCATCATTTTCTACCTACTGGAGCTATTAAACGTTGCAAAATTCGAAGTTGCTTTGAAATCATTATTTTTTCTCGCCAAATTGAAAGAAATCAACCCCAAATATGGAAGTTCGAAAGCATGAGGAAGAATAATATGAAGCTTGCTTTCCTGCAAAAATTCTCCTTATATAATTTCATAAAAAATCAACGTCCTCTTTTTCAATAAAAACGCTCGGCACTGCCCATGATGATGATGTTCGTCTCTGAAAAACTGAAAAGCTCCGGATTCATTGCCTAAGGAAGTATTTCCAAGAACTTATAGTCTCCAAAAGTTTAATAAAAATTCCAACACATACCTCCTCTCCCTATCCTCCCTACGGACGTACGATGTCCTTCGAACATTATAGGGATTCCCTTCCGTGTGGACCAAGCGATAAAAAAAATATCCATACTGGTTCAAATTTGGTAAAAATCGTAGGACTAATAGCTGAGATATCGAGGGAGGGCTATTAAAGTGAGACACAAAACAAAACTTCTTTGCACAAATATATCACAAATCATATAATTATTCTTGGGGCGGGGGGGGGGTAATAACCTTCATTACCTGTCCCCCTTCCCCTATATATCGACGCCCTTGACCGTAATTTCGTCTTACCATACAGTAACAACAGCTTAGTCACTTTTTGATTTAGGGTGAAAGTTTATGAAACAATGATTCACCACTTTCAAATTTATATCCTCAGTACGTAGGTAGTATTTGCATCACTCTTGTGAAAACTTCACCAAGGATAAGATTTCCACAACATTCTCAATCACACGGCATATTTTGCCATCAAACATGAACAGAGACGTTTTGCTAACACAGTAGGTTCATGATCTGAAATACTGGTACAATGAAAAACTAACCTTGGCTTGTCTAACTTTCATATATCCTACTTTCCCAACCTGAAGGATTAGAATTACCTGTGCCTATTTTGCGAAAATGATACAGGTAATTCTGATCCATTCAGGTTGGGCGAGTAGGATATATAAGAATTAGGCGAGCCAAGGTTAGTTTAGTTCATGGTACCAGTATTCCACCTGATGAAGCTACCGTGAGGAAATCTAATCGTTTGTGAAGTTTTTATATTTGCCATGGATTTCCATCAAGTAACGGCCGAGTCAAATCAAAATTTGCATCACTCTTATCATTCAAGATATTTGATGGAATAAAAACTCCAGTTCTAGATACATTCAAAAACCTCTCATAGAGAACACACAGAATAAAAGCACCTACCTCCTCTTTATTTATCCACGCAATTTGTGCCTCAATCTCCTTGATCTTGATCATATGAAGAGAAATCTCATTCAGATATACCCTTGTTCTACCTATGTCGTCCATCTCGTCCAAAACTACGAGCACCGGATACACATCTTTGATCATATCATTAACATCTTCCACAACTTTTTGTAGCTTCTCCTCCGCATCAAATTTCAGTCCCTCGAAAGTGGAAGAGTGATTCTCCAAAATTGGAAGAATATCATCCAACCATTTGATAGCTCTAGCATTAAGCCTCATGTGATCCTCAGTCAGGATACCCAGGTCGATGATCTGACAAAGTGACAACAAAGAATTGTGAACCCTGGCATTGAGTTCTGGAAGATTCTCGTTCTTGATCCAAGTCATGAATTTTCCAGTTTCTATAAGTTCCTCGGTAGTCCTTGGGGTATCAGTAGCTCTTTCTTGGATTGTGCTGAAAGTCTTACAAAGATCACTAACCTCCCGGTAGTGTTGATCACACAGAATTTGGAAGATGCTGCTGATGTTCTTGCCCAAACCTTTGTGTAATGTTTCCCTATAGCTATCCAGGAACATTTTGCCTATACGGACAAACTCATGATCTGGTATGAACATTACTTTATGCAGATAGTTTCTGTAGTAATTGATCTTAGTGCAACCAGCTTCGAATCGGATGTCTGCTATTGAGTCGTAAAACAACTGGGAGTCAATGTCTGCATATATAACTAAGAATTTAGAGTTCAAATCTTCTATGTAGGCCAGTACTGGTTCATAGTGTTTGTTGATATTTCGCTTGATTTTGTCTTTACATTGTGATATGAAATCGTCTGTTAGGCAAAGATTGATAAACTTGTTCTCATATCCCCGTATTTTATTCCTTTCTAGTACATAGACTTCTTTGCCAATATCAATAATTCTGTCCATGAAATTATGGTATGCTTCTATTACTTCACTGGCATCAGGAGATAGCAGCAACTGCTTCTCAAAAAATACTTCCAGCTTGAGATATGGCTTTGTATCATCAGCAGATGTTACTCTTACTATTTTCAGGAGGGTATGAGCTATGCTTCTACTGATATGTAGGGATAGTAAGCCTGTACTAGCCGCTAGGTAGCTTCTGGAGGGATATTTATCTTTATGTTTGGTTTCTTCTTTATCTACTATCGAGATTATATTCAGGTAGAATTCGTAGATGAATTGCGATGCTCTTTGTGATTTGTCTTTGAAAAGGTACTCTAGCTCAGAGAGACTATTGACTTTGGTGAAACTGATCTGAAAAAGTTCGTATGGAAGGTTGACCACACACTCCTTATGAATTTTCCGTAGTACAGGGTAGTGTAGTATCCATTTATTTTGTAAACTTTTTCTGGTTCGCAAGAAATCATCATAACGGTCGGTTTTGCCTATGAACTTGTAAGGCTCTATGGTGAAGAGGACTTCAGGGTAGCAAGATCTGATCCTGAGGTTCATAGCTGTACAGTGCATTAGTTTGACGTACTCTTGCTTAGTTTCCTTCATCATATCAGCTAGTAGTTGAGGATATTGCTTCTGGAGTCCTCTTCCGGCTATTTTGTATTCGATGCATTTTTCTTCAAATCGCGACATTTCAGAAATGGGATAATTTTCCCCGAACTTACGGAAATCACTTACTGTAATTGGTTTAGATGGTACCATAGGATATGATGCATCCTCCAATGACTTGCTAGATTTTAATCTTGTTTTCCGAATAGACTCACACATATATTCTGAAATTCTTTTTTTCTTCTTTCTCTTGGTTTCGAAAAGCTTGGTTATTTCTCCTGAGAGATCCATGGGAACTGGCTGCTCTATGGGATTTCGTGGTATTCTAGAGAACTTGTAACTGACCTTTCTTTTTTCCATTTTGTTCCTAGCTCTACCTTCTTGAATTTGTTCAATTCAAACTGAAATATTTGATCAATACTCTGGTAGCAACGGCTTAATAGATTTTGCCACAGGCCGTTCTTGGAACAATAGGAAAGCTTGACTGGATTGGGAAAATTTTGTTGGAAAATATATTGAGATGAAATCGATTTCAATAGAGTTTGATCGACAAGAGTTTGCGTGTTTCTGAATAATGTAGTGAAACAAGGCGGTTTCAAATAAAAAAATATACTTCGAGGAGAGTAGCGAGTCCTTTTATATTCAAGAACATCTCCGGGCAGTAATTAGAAGTTGATGAAAGTTCGTTTCAGGAAGATTATTTCGTGCTCCTCAGAGGTGAAGAGAATTACTTGAAAAATGATTGAATGAGTAAGCTAACGCTGAATATTTATTTATCTCTAAAATTGATTTTCCAAAAATAACTTATTTTAGAATTTGGTATATAACGTCTCATCAACAAGAATTTAAATTCACTTCGGAAAAAAATGAAATGAAATGTTGATGACGTAGATTTGGATTGGAGTTCCTCCATATTAAAGGGCCAAATTCCTACAACAATCATCTCTTGGGGCGCGCGAGAAGGAATTCCTATCTTGTTCGGAGAACATAGTGCGTAGCTAAGGATGATAATGAGAGGAGGTAGGTATTGGACTTTTTTTCAGTTTTTGGAGTCTATAATTTCGGGGGAACACTTCTTCTGGCGAAGAAATCCAAAGCTTGCCATTCTATAATCAAACGAGTTCTGGTAAAGAGTTGTTCGACATATCTCAAGGTTGACGACAAAAGGGTGTGCTGACTGTGCTTGTCGATTCCGTCTGAATGGTATTGCTAGTGATGGAATGACAGCAGAGTTCTGAGAAATATTTAGCTTGGTAGTATCTGAAGAAAAGTGAGAGGTCTCCGACTCCTAAACTGCCCAATGGCTCTTCTCTGGATGGAATTTAAGAGCATCAGCGTCGTATGTATGGATGCTGAACCCCATATTATGTGGGAGCAGTCGTATCTGTGCTTTGTATTTCATGAGAAGCTGTTGAGGTGTGGAGTAGATTTTTTCACATAATAAAATTCCGAGCAGCTTTCGCGATGGATCTGACATGATTTTCCCATGAAAGAGTATTGCTGATGGAATACCGTGCATGGATATAGTGAACTTTGTGGGAATGGTGGTACCAGCCATTGAAATATGAGGAATACTGAGTTCCACCTTACAAGAGAAAATAAATGCAGGTTTGTGCACTGGTGGCGTTGAATTCAACTAGGTTGTTGGTTTCCTTGGCAAGATCGTCCTTGACAGCATTGACCTGCCGTCGTCGTAAGTTTTTGGTTTCCTGAGAAGTAATGAGGATTCTAGAGGAGAACGCAGTATGGAGAGTACTATCGTCTGCAGAGCTGTGGATAGGGCAAATGGTAGCTCCCAACAGATCATTGATATGAAGTAGGATCCTCATGGAACGCCAGCGTTGATGGCAATGGTATCAGACAATACTCCGTCCACCACCACATGGAGCGATCTACCTCTAAGGAAACTTTGAAGTTGGCATAGCTGGGGGTTAAGCCGTATGATAATGGTGTATAGTTTGAGGAGAAGTCCTTGGTGCCAAACACCGAAAGGTGTTTGGTGAAGATGTGGAGTGTCAGCAGAAGCTGTTTTTCAACTCAACCATTACAAAAACAATTACAAGTTACAAATAGTGGATGATAAGATACCTTCACATAGGTGTAATATAGTAGCGGAAACATAATATCAAAAACATTATATCAAAATTATAGTATCAAAAACATAAATGGAGATTCTTGAAGATACCAGCCATGGCACCTATACTAAATCTCAGTTCAGGATCGAAGTATACCCCTAAGTTTTTACTCTCATTAACCACGGGTAGTTTGTTGTTTTCAATACGTATTTCATGTGATATCAGTGCAGATTCTCTAATTTTCTATCTCTACAATTAATACAAAGCAACACGTGCATGGAAAAACGTTCATATAATTTTTTTCATATCCGCCATTCCGTTTAAATGTCTCTCAGTGATGGGGTGGTCTGGAGTGATCATCTATTACATTCAATCAGTATTTCAGGGGCGCTTACAACCCCCAAACACGTTTTGTTCGATGAATAATAGAAATGAGCCCCATGCGAGTAGTTGCGAATCTTCCGTCCGGACCGGTTCATTAACGGTCCCATAAAATATTCACAACCCTCTGGGTTGAAACGCGATAATTACATTTATCTCGTTCAATCACAATAATATCCAATTCTCATGCGGATTTGGGAAGATGTCGACCCCCTGTGAATATCATTCATTTGAACTAAAATGACATGTGTGCCCAACCCCTGCGATGTTGACAAAGTTATGGATACGTGTGATTAAAAAAATCAAGTGGTTTACAATTAATAATAATTCAATTTATAGTTTCCAAATTTCCGAACTTTGGTTGGAATAACAATCTGTCTGTCTGTTTTTTTTTGAAAATTAAAGTCACAAGTCGTTATTGATAATGATAAATACCTACTATATTACAGTGCAATTCCTGCGTATCTCGGATAAGAACAGTGCATTCAGGTTAATTACAACAGAGGTTGTTATGTCTTCATTGGTTAGTGGTTCATAAAATGACGAATAAGTGGTAAAAAAAGGTTTTATATGATGCATGTATATGTATGTTAGTTTGGGTGGAATTTTTGAACTCAACTTCGAAGTAGATATCTCCAACCGATTGAGCTGAGCTTTTGTATACACGTTTAGGTTGAATGACAATGCACGATGGGGTGTGTGACGTTATTCTTAATTCAATATTGCGGAACATCCAAGATGGCTACAATATGGGTATCAAATGAAGAGGCTTGTTGAGAGTAACTCGATAAATGATATGACGTCATCCAGAATACAATATGGTGGACCATCCAAGATGGCGGAATAGTAATTTTCAATCTAGTCCTACGATATGGGTATCTATGAGAGGGCTCTTTGAGAACAATTCGAAAAATCATGTGATATCATCCTGAATCCAATATGGCGGACCATTCAAGATGGTGAAATAGTTATTATTAATGCACTTCTGCAATATGGGTATCATATGCAAGGGCTTGCAGAGAATAATTAGAAATAATGTGGCATCACATTGAGCTTTCCTATAAAATCAAAAAGTTAATTGAGAATGAGAATGCAGGTTTAAAAAATCGATTTTCAAGCCTGTAACATAGATTGATCAACTCTGACTAGTGTAATTTGGCGAGATGGGCGTCATACTGAGAAACCTAGCTTGCGACAATTGACAAGTGAGAAATAAATCAAGAGTTCTAAAAAAACTTGGAACAAAGCTTTTGTCTGAATGCTCTAAAAAGACGAAAACGAAAATTTCCTTCCAAATTCCAACTATCAACTTATAACCTCATTATATAAAATTTATATAATCATCAAAGCTTGTTGTGATGATCAATAATATTCAGTAGAATTTTTTTAAATTTCAATTAAACTGAATATTCTTCATGGCGATAAGCTTTAATGATTATATAAATGGTGTATGATGTGGTTATATGTTGATAGTTAAAATTCAAAAGGGAAATTGATTATCTTCTTTTCGGAGCGTTTAAATAAAAGCATTTTTTTATGTTAACTTTTCCTGTCAATTCATCCAGTAGTATTTCAGGAAGGGTCAATTCTTTTTCAGAATAGTCACTTGTATTTCAGAAAAAGGTAATAATGGTATTTTAAAATAGTCATTTGAATTTCAGAGACCATCAATTTTATTTCCGAATTTTTGTATCATGTGGTGTGCACGAAAGGGAATCCCTATGATGTTCGATAACATTGTGCGTACCTAGGAAGGATATGGAGAGGAGGTAGTTTTTTGAATTTTTTTTGAACTTTTGGCGATTCTAAGTTCTTGGAAATACCTTCTTGAGCAATGAATTCCAGAGCTTCCATAGTCAATTGTCATTTGAATTTCAGAAAGTGTCATTTGTATCTCAGAAAATATCATTCGAAATGAAATTAATGCTTTCTGAAATTCATTCAACTATTCAGGAATTCAATGCTTTAAAGGTGTAATACTCGAAAATTGCTTATTAAAAATTGCACAGTACGTCCAGAAGATAATTTCGTTAGAGCAATAGCAAAATTAAGTCAATTTATGAATCACAGGACCTTCGGTGGAGTTTTTGTTAATTTCCAAGAATCACCCTGTATTCAACCGAATTCATGTCAAGACCCGTCTGGCAACATTGTAATTTTGCGCCCTGCATGAGACCCGCTGCTGCTCTTGGCAGGCGGATCACAATGATCACATGAGCGTGTGTCAATTGTTCCGAATGTCGATTGTCCTGGGCACACGTGGCATGTTCGATCATACGTGGTTATCCCCCTTTGGATGCTGCATTATCATTTTTCCGAATCAGAAGCGGCAAATGACTAGGGAGATAGATTAATTTGATGGGAAATGGCCCCCTTATGAAAAACAACCACCGACCAAGCAAGAGTGCCGATATTGAATTCAGAGTATGCACAATATTGTATAGGTTGCGTGCACGATAACCGACCCTGGAGGTGAAACATTGAAACTTGGTACTTGGTACTTGGTGCAAGACACTGCCGTATCTCTGAATATAAAAAGTATTGTAAAAAGTTATTCTAAGGAAGAAACTGGAAGTAAAATAGCTCCTGGCCCAAAACAGAAAACCAAGTTTTTGGGATGCACTTCTATCAATTGATCTCACGTGATTTTCCCAAGAAAGGTTATTGCTGATAATAATACCAAGCATCGAAATGGATGTCTTCAAAGGTATGGTACTGCTGACAAGCTTATGTTAGGCACAGTGAGATCGGCTTTTCTAGAGAAAAGGCATGCTTGTGTTTTGTTTGCATTGAAATCTACCAAGTTATTGGATCCCCATTCGAGAATTGTTGCCAAGTCCATATTTATGTTGTCAACATATTTCTCCCTCGTTTATTTCTGATTTGCCTGGCTGGTATTGGAGC